TGCCTTCGAATAGCTCAGAAAGGCTACCTTTTATCGAGGGACATGCTTTATGGTCGAGAACAGTGACCTATACCTTTCTAGGGCGAGGTTGAAAACGACCCACCAGATTCCGTGCAGTCCCTAAAACAGAAACTAGTATAAGGTGTCAAAGCATACTAGTTCCCTTCCTGCTTCTTATATATACCGACCTTTTAGTCGCGAACAGTCTTCCGCAGATAACGAAATGCAGATGTTGATTCTCTGTTTTCGTGTGCTCCTTATTTACTTTTTACTACTCGTTACTTAATTGATTTCTGTATACACAGTCCTTAAAACCCCTGGGTCGAATTCCCCGAGGATAGGGATACGGATGCTAAGATATCCTTCATAAAATCTTGGCGGCGGCAACAAGAGGCTCGTAACGGAGGAGTTGTCCATGTCTATCGGTATCTTCTAGGAGAGACGATTCTCGAAGCTCTCAGTCGACGATGCAGTATCTACCTGGAGCAAGACCTGACCAGATAGTTTCATCTCCGCACCAGAATTTGTGCAACATTCTCTATTCCCCCGTTGCAAACCAAAATACCTCCGCCTGACTGTGTCTAGCAAGAGGTCACAAATGCCGAGTGGATCTTTTGGCAGCCATATAATCGCATCTCCAGTGGCGGTATTGCTGGATGTTGAATGGATCGGACTCTGGGATCCCCATGCTGGCGCGCAAAATCTCTCTCGAACAGGAGAGCTGTCAGCTCCATAGGCCGGTTCATCAACCATATTAACCCCATGACTCTTGAGAAGTGGCTGGTAAACTTGCTGCAAAATTGCTCGGTACTTTAGAGTCACGAAAAGAGTAAGGGAAACAAGGACGATTTGGCCGATGTCATGACCTAGGTGTGTCGGACTGATTTTGAGAATGAATAGACCAAGGAGACATATCTCTGATGTAATGAGACCCCAAAAGAGCTGAAATATAGCATGAAAGTAATGTATTCCACCATTGTCGAATGGAATGTAAGACGCATATAAGAGTCTATGTCGAAAGCAGACGAGGATGATACCAAAACTGACGAAGGAGATAGGTAATATCAAAGGTGCAAGCAATGCATATATCAATACTAGTACTCAGCTCGTTAGTGGTGACCTTTCGGACGTAAAGGAAAAGCATACCAATGTTAGCAATTGTGCAGTATAACGGATAAGTCCTTTCCCAGTCGACTCGGTCGTGTAAGTCATAGATTCGCTCAACTAAGTCCTTCGGTGTCCCTTTTCCTTTGGTGGGATCAAGGAGCAGTCTGAAGCGTCGGAACCAGGCAGGACCACGGAGTAGGGTAGAAGTAGCGAGCGACATTGCCTGCAGAAAGACGAAAGATAGAAAATAAGTGCTCGCCAGTGGCAAGTTCTGTGCGAGGAGACGTGGTACCCTTGTGATCCCACTGTCCAACACGGCGACAAGCGTTGGAATTAACCCGGATGAGACTGATGTGGTGATGAAGAGCTGCGTGAATAGAAAGTAGGAATAGAACGACTGGACCGACACATGGGACCCTTCCATCGTCGGATACTGTTTGTATGACGTGAGAGTTTGCAGAACAAATGGAAAAGTATCCACAAAAGCAGACGTCGCTAGTTGGGGCGCTATACCCTGAAGGGGGCCGATTAGCCACGGTGGTAATTTTGATTCGCCGTATATTAGATAGAGCCCAGAGGTTAGTTGGGAAAGAAACCCGCTCGCCCCGACTGGAACTGTCCATAAAATTATGAAGGCAACGATGCAGATATCGATGCCTCCCCGCCGAGCCTGTACACGATGATACGGACCTCGAATATTTGATAAGGTTATGCGAGACCGATCTGACCCTAAGTACTGTACTTTGAGATATGGCGCATTCATCGATAGTCGGGCAACCGAAAGAGCCTGAGCAATGAGATAGTCATCTATCTCCATCAGAGCAGAGCTAGCACCTTGAGGAAATTTTCGCTGCTCTCGGTCTATTTCGCGATTTATACCGACCAGTGTCTGATACAGCCAGGAGACTGGCCGCATTTCGTATGGAATCCAGTGTGACATTGCCCTTAGAAGACGTCCGCGAACGGTTTTTTCATATGAAGAGAAGCCAATATAGCGATGGCGTAACCTTTCAGTCACCCTGCGTTTGATATTAATCTTGTCTCCGGCCGATAGCTTGATTTCTTTGAGAATAAACGCCATCTCGCATCGTTCGATATTTCGGATCAACTGTTCGCGTTCCATAGAGAGATCCCCTTTGATATCATCGCTACGGACGAATCTCACGCTTCGAATGTGCGTTTCCCAGTGCTGGTAGTAAGCCCGAATCTTACGTTCGTCCTGGAGGTCCGTGGGAATGTCGGTGACTCCAACAAAGAACTGTCGAGAATCGGTGCCGTGCTCTCGGCAATAATTTTTGCTCAAGCGCATGCGCACTGAGACAGCTCGGTTGAGTTCGTAGGTGATGTGGACTAGGGTATAGCCAGCGAAGCAAGGCACGAATGCGGCGTAGATCCAGTAGTACTCGGCTTGCTCTGGAGCTAAGCTTGACCAGCTGAATCGGTCTAGGGGGTCCACCGAATCAGCCGAGCCCAAAAAGTAATTGAAAGTCATGATAGCTGGCGTTACGACAACCGCGGAAGACCCAAACAGTAGAAGTAGAAATCGGATGAATCGGTCGAAAAACAATGCCTCAATACCACAATCGTGCATAAGTGTTATATTCGACATCGTGATGTGGTTTCGTAGCAATCGCCAGGGCCGGCGACAAAACGGTTTTGCGAGTAGGTTAAGGTAGGAATGAATACGAGGCTCCCTATAATACTGTCAGCTCTACTTAGACTCAGGAATCGCCTACATGAATTACAAAATAAAGTCGAAGCGATCATATCTACTCAAGATGAAAAAGGCCGCGACAGAAAGCGTAAAAGCAAGCGAGCCAGCACAAATTGAAGATAGTAACGCAGTAGAAGAGAAGTTCTGTGCTTTGATAGCCTTCTCGTTCGCCGAGAGGGAGCTGTTCTCTGGCATTTTGGTTGAGAGACGTGGAAATGCAAGATTTAGGCGGTGGAAGCCCAGCTGTATCCATCACATCAGACAACACCTCCATAAGTAAGGCACGTGCTCGTGACCGCTGTCCCGGGATAAAGTATGGTTCTGACCTACCACAGGTTTCTACGGTAACCGGCATATATATCAGCAGATACTTCCTACGGATAGTATAGGCCCGACCTCACGCTGCTCCGCACTAGGATTGGCACCAACACAAGGTCTTGTCTCGTACTATCTCCTTCAGTATGGCAAACGTTACTGCCTATCGGCTTCACCACACAGTAGTCGGCCTCAGCTACCAATTAGTAAACCAGGCTGATGAAAAGCAAGCACTTCTAGATAGGACTCACGCACTGCAAATTCAGAATTCGGTGATCCAGAAAGAGAAGGAATGTTTAGCCAGACAAACCCAGGACAATCTACGGGAGACGCACCGACGCGTAAAACAAGTGGATGAACAAATCAAGGATATGAAGAGGGCTCTCAACAATATAGCGACCTTGGCGTCCAGCTTCAAAAGCGAGGCCAGCGCAAACAGCAAAGAATTCGACTTCGCTGAACATATCCTCAATCAAACCCAAAAATATATCAGGAACAAGCCGGCAGTGTCTACAGTGAGGCTTGCGCCAGAACCGTCTTCGGAAAGTGCTACAATGGAGGAGGGCTGGACGATGTCTTCCGATGAGCGATTGAACGATGAGTAGGGAAGGAAAGCGATGTCACCAGCGGCAAGAATATGAGAAACACCAATCTGGACACCAGAATCCTTTTATCTTAATTTAGTCGTTAGTGATCACGTCTGGTCGATAGGTTACGACCTAGAATGATAAGTTTCCACCACTTTAGTAGAGAGTTCTAAAGGCTAGTAACATTCTTGATCTCGAAAGAAACTCCCTATAGACGCTACTATCACCCTTTTCCGTTGGGGGTCGCAGCTGCGCTATTCATACAACAATAGTCAACTTATCGGGGGTATATAAATGTTAGAGATTAATCAATTATGTGTTCTAAATAAATCTAGATTGCCTCGATAGGTTTCTTAATAGTTTTGCAGCAACTTGTAATATAGTGAGTGACCCAACGTACAAGAAAGCATTCACTACTAGAAAAGGCCTTCTTGTCGACCCTTATCGCTTTTCCCTTAGTTTCCTACTTCGTGGCAGTACTAGTCCCTAAAATCCGGCAAATCTCTCTATGTAAGAAAGTAGCCCCTATGAGCTCTATAAAATCTGTAGATTTAGAGCGACGCTAGAAAGTGAGCTTAGGCCTAGACTGCGAAGTTTATATTGCTACTAGAAGTAATCTTAGGTGTCACCGCTCGCTGTAGTGTTTATACTTTATTGTGCCACCGATCTATGTTTAATTCTGACATCCGTCTTTAGGCCAATATAGAGTTAGATCATCCCTGAATTGTCACGTAGAGCTTGATTGTGACAAAGTTCTATCCATTCCCCCTCAGCCCTAGTGACCACATTTTCGTATCCCTTTAAGTACCATACCAGCTCATCTGCTCGCCTGAGCCACTCTGTGTCGGCTACTTGAGACCAATCAACTTTAGTGGATTGACTTCCGGTGTCATTAACCATGTGGACTGGACGAAGATAATAATTGAGATACATCTCTTGTGAAACCGAATATAGGCTGGAAACCATGGCTTCAGCTGATTCATAACAAGATCGGAAGAAGTTGACCTCCCTCCTTAATGCTGACAGCTGCCGGACGAGATCAATTTCTCTTTGTTCTTGTGAATTTGGTTTACGCTGCTTGGCTGATTGGAGGACCTCCTTCCTTAGTTCCAGGGCACTTGTCACTCCTCCAACTTCCTCAATGCATCTGTCAAAGAATTGAATAGATGGCACGCGATCTGGAACCTGCATTATCTTCCTTTTGCGTAACCCTGTGATACTCGGCTAGTGAGCTCTTCACACTGGGTAGCACTGTATCGTGAAGGAGGTTGTTTCCCGTCACCACCCACTGACAAGCTAAGCAAACACCACCGAAGCAAAAATGATTTTGTAGAACTGGGTTACTTTCACTGGTCAACGCGTCAAGGTCCACATTATACAATACTGTGCAAGACTGGCATCCTTATATCACTGCTCTTTTCTATACTTTAGATTTCGGTGGAAACCCAAATAATTGTATTTAGCTATTTACGGATTAATGATAGTTGTTCCCAAGTTAATCATCGCATGGAACGTAATGCATGGCTTACAGCAGTTTTACGTATCAGTAAAATATCTATGAGCCGTTTAGTGAATCTTTTCATGTGCAGTACTTCCACACATATGCGTGGGCCTCGGATTGCGACCACCGATCCCCATTCCTCCGTAGGCACCTAACTTCATCCGCCACGGGCAGGAGCCACCAGAAGTGTGCGGGTTCATATACACGTCACAAAGCTCCGACCACTAGTCTGTCATGACACGCGACTCTAGGCGCACCGCAAAGAGAAGTCCTTTCGTTGATGAAGTCAACATATTGGGCAAAGGAGCAATCCAGCGGAGATGGATTTCTATGAGCTGGCGAATCGCGGAGGTGCTGCTGCAGCACTTCCTGGCTGTTGAAGCTTTGGTCGCAGTCGTCGCAATCGAGGCTAGGAGCATGAGCTGGTGAATCACGAACGTGTTGCTCCAAACCCCGTTTGCTTGAGAATGAGCAGATTGCAGTTTGCGCATTCCACCATGGTATTGATCGTCCTCCAATGCTGACTCCAAAGTTCGCCGCCTTTTGCTATTGTCGCTGTCGTATTCCGGGGCACCGCGGCAATATACTGTTGTGGTTAGATAGACAGCAGTCTAATACGCTAGGGTGGTAGTGTTGACTCACCAGCTTACCGTTCAAGACCGATTGTCACCGTCCAATCGTATATTCCCACGTACGGAGCCCCCGATATATAAGGGAAACGAGGGTGTGAAAGATAATCTTATTGATCGATAACGTGTGCCAATCATGCAAGATATGCTCCCTCCCTTTAGAGCTCCAAGCAGTGTTGTGGATTGCTACCACACTTTTTAGCCTCTCCGTCGCCGAAGTCTAAATAGGAAGGAAGCACGCCTTGCCTATGTGAAATTCAAATCTAAGGTTTATTTCGAAGCTCAAGGATCGTGCACTGTCCACAGGTTCCTGCATACTATACGTGGTGCTCCGAGAGACCATTCCTTTTCCACCGTAACTATTGAATATTGGCCTGTACGTAAGTCGCTGTGGCCCTGAACACGGACAGTATAAAATCCGAATGAACTTCAACAACAACAACAATAGGAACGAAGTAAAATCTTGGTTGCGAGACCTGAAGGAGTAACCTCCACCAACTATGCCTGAACGTTTTCGTCGACAGAAAGTGCGCTTCCACGAGCAGAACGAAGAGGTCCTCCGTCACCCGTTTGACGACGAATATTCTGTCATGGCACATTTTTTGGACCATATCGACATGTGCCGACTTTGCATCGTACCTTTTCAAAAGGACAGAAATCCTATGTTGTGTCGAGAAGGCTACCTCCTCAGCAAAGACGTCTGCCGTTATGTCGGGCTTAGGAACGGGAGAGTGACCTCCGCCATAAGTTCACGGTCGCCACTTGAGATCGCAATTCCTCCGAGGTTTGCGATCATACGGCGACTCCTTACTGCTCGTCCACGGGACTTAAAGTCGCAGGGAGTAAACGATGGAGAGATGCCAAAGAGTCGGCCTGAATCCAGGCACGCACCTCACCAACGATCAGTGGAATACGTCACGATCTACCTCAATCTTCCCGCTTTAAAGATCCCTCTACATATCCGCCGTGCAGACCTGCAAAATATGTATACAACCTAGAGTCTTCCAGTATGGGGCGCGGATAATGCCATGCCTGGCAAGCCCCTAAAATGGCAGGAGCAGGAAGTACGGGTCTGGGGAAGAAACGAAAAGCCTGAAAGGCTCTATGAGTATAACAAAGCACTCTACTCAGTTGCGTTCGATGGCACTGTGGTGCCTATTATCGAATTAAGTGCCACACTAGCCGCTTGAGCAACCTGCATCATCATCTCGCTGCCATTCTCACTTTCCTGCAGCGCCTTTTGTAAGTCAGTCAGTTTGGATTCAATCCGAGAAATGCTGTGACAGCATTGATCAACTCTCTTTCGCAGCTCGTCAATTTGACGAGTTTGCCTGGGCGGAAGAGAAAAGTCAGTGGATAAACACGGCCTGTAACCATTCTGCCCTCACCTCTGCTCAAATTCTTCGAGACGTTCATCCGCTGTGCTTCTCGCTCGTTGTGCCACGTTGAGGAATTGTTTCACCAAGTGATGTCCTGACTTCGAGCCACTGGGCGGTAGAGCCGCAGAGGCGTTGTGTTGCTGTGCAGCCGCTCTTCGGGGTTCCTTCGATGTTCTACGACTTGGCTCCCAGACACCGTTCGGCCACCCATGATTCAGGATGCTCTGAGACCTTCCCTGAGAGAGGTCTGCATGCTCTGGAAAGACTGTGGGAGTGACAGGTGGACTGACTGCTGGCTGTTCCAATCCAAAAAGGTTGGGGTCAAAAAAACTATCCTCCATACCTTCAGGTGCCTGTTGCGTGAAGCTAGACATCTGATGTGGACTTAAATTTGACTTGACATGACTTGTTGAAGTATCAACACTGTGCAAACACGGGATCCAGTGGTCGGTAGAGCGGCTCCCCTTACCGCTCGATGCGAACGGCAGGCGGCTAAGTGCTCCGATCACCATCAAACAGACCCTGGTTTTACTGCAAAGTTAGCGACAAACTGTTATCCTATTACTGTACCGTTGAGTGGCGGGATTGCATTCCCGCCTTGAAAGTCCGGAGCTGGGGGGGCAAAATGGACCTCTGAATTGAGTGGTGCTCCAGGACGGCGGATGCTCATGGACAGATCCGCAACCACTATATTTCTGGGATAACATGAAACATCCATTGTCACACAATTTGCCACAATACTGACGTATTCCCACAGCAAGGCGTGGTGAAGCTAGAAATGAACCTTCAACCAAGATTTTTCACGCCACTGGGCCTCTAACCTTTGCTTGCAGCGCGAGATTTCCAGATTCGTTGGGCCTCCAAAGTCTTCGGTTTACTATGAGGAACAATTGATGAGAAATGGCCCGGTTTAGCAAAAAACGCTCCAATGTCAGATTGAAGTCCCGCAGCAGAGACCACCCCCCAACAAAAGAGGAAAAGGAATCTAAGGCGCAATATGAGCAGGCGAGGCGTCGACAATGGTGCGTGGTAAAGAAGACCAATGAACTCCACTCGTTATGTAACAAGAAGGTCTTCCTACTTGTGGTTGACGACCGTCGTGCCGATTTCCTCAGTTCCGAAGATATCTCCGAGGATTGGCCATATTCCTGGCAAAGACTGGTGAATGAATCCCTCCCGAGCACAGTACGAGCTTATTGACACCTTGCAGATGTCTGACCCTACTGTTCGACGCATAACGTACAAAACTAAACCGCAAACGCAACATTCGGACAAGCCCTACCCATTGGTCATCCCGAATCAGGCTTGGGGTGAAGTGACACCGGCAGACTCCGAAGATTCTGAGGATTCGTTGCAACCGATACAGAGCTTCCTTCGCGTCCATGAATTGGGTCGACTCTTGGAGCAGTTCCATCATCTTGGGCGCCATCGCGCCGCTTTTCTTAAAGGACTGAGAGTAGCACTATTTGGCGAATCGGGACGCCTCCCGGTGCAAGAGCAAGTATGAAATCTAGTCTATGATACCTCAATGGAAAAGAAGCCACGTGACAGAACTGATTTGGGTTTCACTATCTTAATAGCCTATCTACGATTTTAGTGATAGAATCCATATGCCCGTCACCAAGGTAACCCAAACAAAACTGACACCTCTGCTGGTAGCGGCCGAATCATATACCGCGGGAGATTGCAATATTGGCGCGGTCCAGCGAAAAGTGCCGTTCGACCAGTTCGTCCCACCAGTGCCAGTTCCTATGCCCGTAGCCATCACCGTGTTCATGTTCATACCTGTTCCAGAGAGCGTGGCAGTGCCAGAGCCAGAGCCAGTAAATCCGTTACCACTTCCTCCCGAGCATGGAACCCCTCCAGTTGTTGAGATCAACGGGCGTGCACTGGCCGGGGGTGGAAACGGCACTACCGATCCGGGGGGGTTTGTAGTCTCTGAAGATGTCGCGGCTTTGCTAGCTGTCGTCGCAGCCGCCGTGGCTGTCCCGGTAGTGCTGGTGGCAGTGAGCGTAACCTTTGGAGTAGAGAGCTGGCTGTCAAGGGGCCCACTCAAAGTATTGGGTAGAGCCGATGACTGCTCCGACTGCGTTACTGAGATGACCGCTATGCTATTTTGTCCCCACATTAGCCAAAAGCTTCCCAGTGAAATGAAACCTGATGGCGGTATCGACTGAGTCCAACTAACACTATGTTAGTCAATCTATAGGGCGGGGGGTCCAGGACTTACACAGAAGGCAGCAGTAGAAACCACCATCCAATTAATGTGAACGCTTGCATCTTCGATTCTGCCCCGAGGGACGAATTACTCCCAGTGAATGACTAAAGACCATTCAATTTAACTACGCTCAGGAGTCGAAAGGTTCCTCGCCATAGTATGGTTCATAATCTTCGCACTTGAAGACTTTATGGCCACCAATATTTGAGACCGCCTTTTTCCGAGGTATGGCTGACCAAATTTCTAGGAATATCCTATAAAACAGGCAAGGGCACGATTATCGGTCTTTAAAGTTCTACATTCAAATTCTCTTTTGGGAAATATGTCTGACTCTAGGAGTGATCCAAAAGGAAACGCCGAGGGAAAGGCAGGAGAGACCAGTGCAGGTAAGCAGGAAGATTCACAAGCTGCGCAAGATGCGCAAGATGCGATAAGTAGGGCGAAAAGGATCGAGACTCAGAGGGGAAAACATCAAGAGAGAAGAAATGAAATGAAAAAATGGAAGGTCGACAAAAAGGATCAACATGATAGAAAGAAGAAGCAACAAGAGTCCCTTCAACAACAGCTCGAACAGCTACTGAAACAAGATGAATCCGAGAGTCGTCGGACCGAGGAGCAAAAAATAAACAAGGACATTGACATGATCGACACCGATCTCAAGGCGATGGAGAACGACTCGGAAAACTTCATGGACTTTGAATACGGTGATGCGAATATCCCGAGGCCGTCAATCGAGACATCGACCGAAGATGATGATCAGGACAGCGATCCGGCTGCAATTCCCTTCCAAGCCGGCAGCGACACTTCAGAACTCTTTCCAGGAGCTCCCTGCGTGACGGTCGCCAAAAAGTGCATGAGAGGAAACAGAGACGAGTCACCGACGTACCTAAATCGCTATGGGCCTCGTAAATGTGGCTGGTTCGTGTTTAGCACCACCTTGTTACTTCCTGATGGCGCGGAAGAAAAGGACTTGGTCAATGTCTCCGAGAAAATGGACCGCATCTTGGATTATCCTCGACGACAGGGAGAACCCAAACCTAGACTCGGTGATGTGCAAGGGTTCTTGAACATAGTCTGGGATTACGGGAAGCTTGAAGGTGATCCGTTAGAGGCGGCAGAACTCTTGAATCCCCGAAAGGTTAAGCAGACCGATAAGTACCCAACCGAGAAAGAACGCCGGCACAATAAGCTAGACAAATATCCTCAAGTGAAAATACAGCTTCAGTTCAAGAAGAATTGGAAAACCGACTCCGTCGAGAAAGCAACTTCATGGGAACTAGGTTCCGCGTTTAGACAACTATACCGAAAGGAACAGATCAAGGCGGAGGACGAGGTATACCGTATGGCACTCAAGCAGGCGGAACGTTTTCTTCATTGGTACCAGTCAATCAAGCCGGATGACTTCGACGAGAAAGGCGTCTACAAGAGGTCGCCGAGTCGAGAACCAACCACGGTGCCGTTAAACAGGACAAGGACCACAACGACATCCATGTCCCCAACTCCGCCTCCGGAAACCACCCAGGCACCGAAGCCTGGTCAGACACAGCTTCCTACGCCACCGCCGGACGAAAAGACCCCTACGCCACCACCGGATAAAAAGGTAGGAAATAAGCCTCAAGTAGATCAAGATTCTACAAAAGGGAAGAAGAAAATGACTCGAGAGAGGTTCGAGAAGATTATACTAAAAGCATATAAAGATGCTGAAAATATAACAGGAGAAATGACTGAAGACCAGAATGATGAATGGGAAGTCTACTTTGATGCTTATGCTAGTAGAAAGGGGTACCCCCCCAAATAGCCACACATCTAGAGCAGCGAACTCGGGAGAAGCAGGAAATCCACTCATTTAGCGACATAGATATATTGAGTTGACTTGAAGAATCAGAATTGTCCGCAGGCGGACATTACCTAAACCATTCAAGTAGATTTAAGTTTACCCTTTGAGAGGTAGTCTGCGTACAGTACCATAGAGCCCATCGAGGTGGAGAATTTGGTTACGAATGCTCGTCGATCCTGACAAGTATTGAAGGCACTACAAATAGCCGTGGACAAGCTGCCAGAAAAAGACGATTATCGCGGCAAGCGCGATGAAAACCCCCTTCGTACAATACTGTAGAAAAGACACAAAGCTTGTATCCCGCTCCTGGGCGGCCAAATCAGAACGCAGGCTGTGGATACTACATTGTGCCACAGGATGATGTGCACAGGGAAACTTCATCGTCACAGGGTCCTAGGGATACTGCACACTGCAATACCTCAGAGTTCCATGGTGCTCCGGCTTATGGCTAGTTAGTTACGCAATGGTATATTGTGGTTTTCTAGGATAGTAACGGACCAAACAAGATAGAGCGTTATTTGGCATCCGTAAGCATGCGAAATACTGTCAAGAACGGTCGTCACACGGCTGATAATCTTTTATTCGATCTGAAAGACAACAAACTACGACTATAGGGACAGTAGAGCTCAACGAAGACTAAAAGAAACTCGTTTTAATTGATTCTTCTACAGAGCCCCCCTACAAAATCCCACGTCAAGGAGGTGAAGTGGAGTCTTGCAAAGGACGTCAGTGCACCCGTTCAATAACGGCCAAGCGAAGCTAGGTTGCTTACACTCGCAAAATGTCTTGTCTCATTCTCCCTGCATCATATTCCCGAGGGTGTAGCCGTGCAGTCATTGCGATATGGCCCATAGAACTTGACTTTTTGCATGTCGTACTTATTGTTAAACCAGCCTGCAACCTCACTAGGCATATTGCCGGCCGTTGGTCTAGCTGAAATAATATCGAGGATATCTTGATGAGGCTTGTAATCATCATAGATATCCGGATCATAAGTGCCAGTCCAATCGAAATTGTTAAGGTTAAAAATATCGACCGCGTTACTATATGTCGGAGGTGCTTCGCTAGTTCCTGTACCGCCGATAACAATCATTTGATCCGGATATGGAGCCACGCAAATATGATTTTGTCTTGCAGATCCTGTCCGTCCTGGACTGTTAGCCTTAACCCACGTAAATGAAGGGACCGTCAAGATCCAAACGGTATCCAATGCTTGACCTCCATTGCTATCCCAGCCTCCATACACAAATATTTCATGGTGAGAGCCATTCGCATCTGACGCCACAACAGTGCAAAACTGTGCAAGAGGTGTATCTGGGATAGGGGAACCCTCATTGAGCATTTGTAGGCTCCAAGTCCTAGTACCTATATCGTAGACGGGGAATTCTTTCAAGAAAGTTATTGACTCGGTGCTGTTGTCTTGAGCAATTTCAAAATTCATGTCCGCTGGCTTCAATACTCCTCCAATCGCAATCAGTATACCGGCTGTCGAAGTAGGCACCCAGACAAGACCGCCTTCACTGCGCCAGGTCGTGCCTTCGTCTAGTGGAGTCTTGATCCAATTTGCATGACCAAGTTCAGTCATCTGCACGGTTATCAACCAACGAGACTGGTCGGTAGGCTGGTCGAAATAAGAGTAGGTTGTCCCATTCTGATTATAGAAACCTCCAAAATAGAACCCAGAGTTTTCACTCGGGACATTAGTCCCGGCGCCGTTCGTGACTGTGATAAACGACCCATTTTGAGGGACGTAATTGAGGTTTGGCACACCGAGTTCAATGTCTGTAGTTTGGGATGGATCATACAAAGGTAAGCTCACTGTACGTGGACCGAGATTGGCGGAAGTAAGGCTTGTGCCACTGGTCGAATCATTAGCTATGGCCTCTCCTTAGAGTACGAACAACTTACCCCCAAGTATAGAATTCATCATAATCGGCGAACATATAACCGTCAATATAATAATTCTGAACTCCAGCTTCGGGAATGCTTTCGAACACCGCAGGCGGTTCACCCGTCGATATGCCGAATGGACTGTGCATGTCAAGCTTGAACAACATTCCATTAGAAGAATTTGCTGTCGTCAATGAGTCGATATCCCATGCCCCATCCTTCCAGGTCCCCGTTTGCATCCAACCACCCTCTATGTAGACATTGTCCCTGATCAGAGCCGCCCGAGGTCTGTCCCAATATGCGATTTCGTTCGAGGTGAAATCACCGATAACAAGGCGTGGTAAAAGGAGTAGCCAGATGCCAGAATGCATGAAGTATAACATGTTGGAAAGATTGTCGTGGAGAGAAAAAGGAACACCTCAGGAGAGGATTTCATCGAGTATAAGACTTGAGTCGCGCCAGATTTAGCGGCAAGATTCCTTATCCCTTATCCTTTGTAGGTGGGCGGTTTTCCAACCAATCGTCTCCATGTGCAGTAGAGTCCAATGGATTTACTTGTGGGCGCGCAATGGCACACTTTTGAATGGCCCCTACGACTTCAATGTGGTTGGTGGATTTAGGGGTGCAGCTCCGAGACCACAATAAAACGTGGACAAACATGCCATAGGTACCCTACAAGTGGAAAGGCTTTTGTATTTGCTTGTGTTCACAGTACTTCCAGAGATTAGATTGCTCCCTAAGCGGGTCATATAATGGGCTAGAATAAAGGACCCTTCTTGAACGAGTAGATTTTCATTATTGTATAAGCCGGATAACAAGCACTAGCGACACACCGTAAGGAGTAACTTCAGAGGAAGGCATCGCAAATCTGAATTGATCAGGTTCTTGACGGCCAAATTACATGCACCAGCATTTCTGAACCAGGAAGAGACATTATCCGTTTCAAAGCCTCTTGTCCAGAGATTATACCAGGCACCGCAACCGTTCGGTCGAGAAGGTTCACGTGTGAACAATTCATCTGCCCGGGATCTGCCACAAGCTGGATGTAGATGTTAATCGACTGACTGTTGAGACCAATGTAATGGAATACCCATCGTCGGTTTAGCAGCCCACAGGAGCAAACTTGACGCTGGATGATCATTTTCGGTAGCGTATGGTATAATCCTGCCACATCCCCAACCATACCGGGAACAGCTTGGAAAATGAGTTTATTGACATCACTCCCAGGTTGAATCCAGGGCTCTGCCCGCACCACCACCTCCAGATTCGAGGCTTTGGACAAAAGTACCCAATCCCTGCCATCCAAATAACAGGCACCGTCGAGGAATAAGACTGACAGATGGCGTGTCCAGAGAATTGCGTGGATTGTTGACGGAGATAGGAGCCACAAGAGACTCGATCTCAATGTCAACGCCGTCAAGGTCTTCGAAGTGGACAATAGGGCGTTCCTTAGTAGTTCGTTAATGTCATCCTGTCTTGTTGAAGTAGCTATGCCATCACACTCTATAGCCAGTGAGATGAGATTCTCGCAGCGCGTAAAGGGGAATGCTTTGTTAACCGCTTCCACTTTATGAAGAGACAGATGCCGCAATTTACCGAAAATCGTTTCGATTTTGCCGACTAAATGAGTCTCGTGACAATAGAGGTATTGCAACGATTCAGCCATCCGGCCAAAAAGATCGTTGAATTTAGTGGTAACGACAAGGGGCCCTTTCAATACGCAAAATGTCAAGCTTTGCGACCGTCCAGTAAAAAGAACCGGAATATTGCTCCAGGAGTTTCCTCCAACTTCAAGGTACGTAAGTAGAGGATAAAGATCAAGGTCGACCAAGTTAACAATCGACCGGGTATTCCGTGTTCGAGGCTCTGAAATTCGAATCTCTAAACTTCGAAGTTCGTCCAGGGAGGGGAGAGTCCTTGAGACATGTCTTATGGGTAACTTAATAGATAGTGAATGTAATCGGGAACAGACTGTGGCTCCGCTCTGTCCTCGTAGGGCCATAGTTATCCCTGACCAACCACAAAAAAGTTGAGTAGCGTCGATAGAGGGGCTTTCAATATCTAGGCTATTTCGTTCAATTAGCTTTGTCTCCACCTAGTAACCCGGGGCTGGGCACACCGGAGATGGATCATTGAGTGCGCGTTCTGAATCAGAGAACAGATCATAGCAAAGCACAGATTGCGGAATTCCGACCACATCTGGTCCGGTATCGGGGCTGCAGATCGGCACCCACAGAGGAGATTCCTGTCTGTGATCGTCAATTCACGAATACGTGATGCCCGGACCTTATCGACCAAGATTTGAATCACTTTCAGACGTTGCATTTCTGTGTGGAAGTTTCCACAGCTTAAGCAATTTGGGACTATGTTGAAGATTAGATCTCGGTCCAATAGTGGCATTCCGATCCTGTTGAGCTTGCGGCATACACGTACTACTGCAAGTACGTCTTGAATATCGAGCTAACGCACGTTACTCGCCATCCGCCACGGTGCGAGAGTGGATTTTCTTACGCAGTCCAAGACACCAGCTATAGTCTCGTCTGAGATCAGTTCAAAATGGTTCATATTGAGGCCGGCAATGTTGGCCTACGCCTTAAGGAACTGTACCACCAACTTCTAACAAGGCGAGTTAGGAAGCACTAAGCTGACGCTGTATATAACATTACAACAACGAGTGAACGCCGCCGAACTGATCTGTATCACTGTCGAAGTTGTGGCTGACCTGAAGATATAGTGGTGGCGCACTGAAATGCTTTACTTCAGTAAATCGTGGTAGGGCTCTTACGGATGCGAATATTTTTCTCCTATAAATGGTAGAGTCCAAGTTCCTCAAGCAGAAAGACATGTTAATTCAGATACCAGGAATATTCAATCGTACGTAAAGTTGATGGAGTGTCGTGGCACGCTTACTATAGTCTACGATCTAGCAAAGCTACTAGTTGATTCTTTTACAAAATGCTTCGGCTGCCGAGAGTATAAGACACCCCTCCACCAGAATACGCCGTCCTTCGAGTCCATTCGTTTCGTCCGTAGCACGGCTCCTTCGATCAGCGAGAGTTTACGGACGCATCTACAAGAAGATATTTTCTCATTGTGTAGAAGGAATTAGAGAGACCTCGCCTATCGAGAAGACTGAAAATGACGCAGCAGAAGATCCTCGGGAATTGCAATGCTGCAGTTAACCGGAAATATTCTCCTACCTTAGGAGCTAGGTAAAAGCCCGACTAGGACAAAGCAATTCCGTTGCTACCACGTTGGTTTACTGTCAGTTGTTTCACTAGGCAGAATTTTTACTGAGGCTAGATTCACCATGTTAAATAAGACTAAGCTATTCGCGTAATGCTAAAAATTGCCACAGATCTCGTTGTACTCCACTTAATTTGCTTATAAGTAGGTAAGTCTAGACACCAGCATTTCGCGTGGGCTTATATCGAAGATATATATTTTGATAGAGTACAGTCACAATTCCGGAAGAGTCTCTCAAGAATTCATACCAATGTATATCTCCCATCCTGAAAACCTGTCAAATATTTAGAATGAGCCTTGAGGAAGAAGATTTTCTTGAACCGGCCCACCAGCACAGTCTTGCGGACCTTTCTAGAGTAGTAGCAGGACCACCTCTATCAGATTACCACGTAAGAAAGGAGCTAGTGGACATGTTTCGACAAATTTACGTCTCAACTTCCATTGCTCTCGCCTCACTTCAAAGAACGAGGCTATTATATAAAGAATTTGTGCTTACACAACGCGCAAAATCGACAATCCGCTCAACTCGAGCATTCGATCAGGAAATATACCTCTATAATGCTCAAAGACGGCTGAAGGCAGAACGATATTACTTTGTAGATGAGGTCATCCCGGACTGGTTCCAGAAAGAATTGGTCCTAAGAACTCTATTGATTAAATCAGATATAGGACTCAAGCTCGCTGGCGTCTATAGTGCCTTGGAGTCATGGTTGATAGAGGTGAAGGTACTGGTGAACAGTTGGGTTGAGGAATTTCGCGCTCTAGACAGTACCTCCCCTTGAAACAGTACCAAGAAGTAAATCGACGACACCGCGTAGTCACTATTCTCAATTTTTGTTGTAGGCTTTTGGGTATCAGAGATAGGAAAGCAGATAGTAATCTTTTCTACCGTCCAACAATGCTTGGCTGAAATAGTGTTTCTGAAAGTTCAGCGGTTCTGAACAACTGATGGTACATTTGTCGTTTGTAAGGGGTTTTCTACGAGACTGTCAGTGAATGCATACCGCCTTTAATGCCTGAAAAGTCTTCTTACGCTCTCGTAAACGCTGGTGATATTGATTGACTTCAATAAGTACCAGGGTCTTCGCTGTTCTTTCGTCGTAATCAGACCTGATTTCAGGCAGTGTGGTATTCATCCACCTGTCCACCTCATCACGCCATCTGAGGAAATCTTCCAGGTGTATAACACGTTGGTGACACTGTTGACAAGAGTCTATGCACCGCTGCTCGGAGGCGAGGCCGGATATGGTCTGGTTGTTCTTGAGATTATGCTGAAGGCTTGTATCCAAATTCTTTGCTCGATCCTCCCTGTCCATTTCCAACGGACCTTCTACCATACCAGCTACTCCAGCGACTAGTCGATCTCCTACTATCGAGGTTATACGAGGAAGTTCTGCTCCAGATTCAAGGCTCAAAGTATTAAACCTATCCAAGCGTCAGTGAATAGCAGTGTAGATAAGAACAAAGGAGAAGATTGATTCTAGCAGGGTCTCGAAATCTTCCAATTTGGACAGTAATACGATGGCACGTCCGTTGACACTTCAAGTAATAAACCTACCAATGGGGAGGGTGCATACACTCTGACCGCACTATAACCTAGTACACCTAGACCAAACAGCAGGTAGAAACCACCCCCCAGATTTTCGTGGCCCTCTTCTTTATGAAAAGATGGGAGAACTTTATAGAGGTTTTATAAAACTATATTCTACAGGAATTCATAGGGTTCGAAGCTAAATTTCTTATGGTGCCTAGAAACTGAAAATACCGTAGAACATAGTGGTCGTGAAGTTAATTCAACATGAGATCCTATGGATGCTTAAAGCTGTCTGCCCACTAGATTCCATCGTTAGGAAAAGCTCCACTCCCACGGAGTATAGGGTATGATTCGTAGGTGGTCGGATCAGTCTAGAAGGATACTCCTATACTGTAATTGTGTCTCACAAGAGCAGGTAGGTTTCCAGTTGCAGAATCTGAGATTTTATTGTATCGTGCTGTGTGGTGAAGACCTCGTAGGACAAACACGTAATTTATCAATGTTCCTTACTCCACGGTTTCCTATGTCAAATTCATAGTTTGGACAGCCCATCGCTCAGCCTTTTATAAGCGACGACTTGCGAGTCAAGCGTCCTGCGCAGGAGCGCTGATGGATAGATCGGGATCTCATTTGCGGTTGTGCAGCCGGCAATGGGGTCTTTATATGCGCATAGACTTTCGGGAGGGCCTTGCGCGTCAGTAGAGCCTCCATGGATCAATACGACGCAGGCTTTAGGTGTTTCTTGGCCCGATGCTCCCCCGATATCGACGAATGCGGTGACGACTGGTCTACCTACTCCCCTCGCGACGGCTACAAGTGACCAAATTTCCGATAAGAGAGGATTGAGCTATAACGACCCAACGTTGACAGCGGCTTTCCAAGGAGCCATGGTTACTTGGGGCTATGACTGGACCAGCCGAACGGGGGAGTTGCCCCTGGAAATTGAATATGTTCCAATGCTGTGGGGCCTTGGGGGCACATCCACTTGGACGTCCGACGCCACCGCTGCTATCGAAGCAGGTTCAAGGCATCTCTTATCCTTCAACGAGCCGGATATTCCTACACAGGCCAACCTTTCACCAGACGTCGCTGCGGTGAGCCACATCCTATATATGAATCCGCTTTCGGATCGGGCTTGGATTGGCTCACCAGCGATCTCGAATGGCGTCAGTGACAGCCAAACTATGGGGATTGCTTGGTTAGAGCAATTTTTCAAGGCCTGTAACTCTTCTTGTGTTGTCGATTTTGTTACGTTTCATTGGTATAGTGACGCCAGCCAGCTAAGTGACCTACAATCTCACGTTGAAAATGTTGCGTCTATTGCCTCGCATAATGGGATCGACACCGTCTGGCTCACCGAATTCGGTGTAACAGGCACCGAGGTTGATCAAGAGTCATTTCTTACGTCTGCTTTGGCCTGGCTGGATGAACATGACCAGGTGGAAAGGTACTCTTATTTCATGTGTGGTAACGGCACTCTGCTGGATGGCTCTTCGCTATCGGGGCTAGGGCGCATCTATAGTGATGGCTCACCGGAATGATCAAGATGAATAAAGCACAGTTTGCATAGCCTCATGTTTATGACTCGCATGGGGCTTGATATTCATATAGACTCGGAGATCGTAGCACAAAATTGAATAGGATTGTATCCATGAGCGTTGTTCCATGACCCGTCTTGATCTTGAAGTAGAGATCGTTATTTCAGTACACTTTGCACAGCTACGCTGGGCCCAAGGGAAAGGTCAAATATTCAGGGCACACAATCAACAGCACCCACCCCCTTCAGGCAATGCTGGATGAATCTCACGCGCCGCCTCTCAGTGTCAAGACTCTAGGCCTAAGTTGGCCTCATTGATCGAGTCATCCTTCGAGTGACCAAAGTACCCTGAGCCCCATGGTCCTCTCCCGTTTCATACTCTGCATCACCACCAGTATCGTAGTTTTCCGAAGGATTAGGTATGATGTGGACCACACCGTTCTCCCTCAGCCCCAATCAACGAAGACTATCCCCCATCTCCCAGGAATGAACTGTCTTCACTTCATGACCTTGTATCTCAATAATATAGATGTAATCTTCTGCCTTGACCTGTTCGTCTCCTTGCTGCGCAGCTTTTTCCCAACCCTTGACAAGATTGCGGAAAGGCTTCTTTGAAGCGGCTTCGATAGCCATCTCCCACTCACCCTTTCGACCCTTGATGGTGGAGTGAATGAGATATCGATTGTACGGATCAGTCTCTTGGAGTTCGGGAATAGGTGTACAAGTATAAGGAAAGAGTGGACCGCCAGTAGTCGTGACACTGGTAGCTTCATCGGCCTCGATGGACTGAACAGGCGTGGAGGAAGACATGTCGAGAATTTAATGATCTCGAGGTTCAGTTGATGCTGGGCTGAAATGACTAAATGGCGCTGAAGTGGTGAGATGCGAAAATGGAAAGAATTCGAAGATGACTATCTAGGAAGCACAGAGTACTAGATTCAGTTTTGGAAGGCGTGAAAAAGAAGTGTCACGCGACTCTCCTGGCTAACAAGTGCTTTGTCAAGGAGGGCCTTCATGACCGTACTGATACTAGCTATCGAGGGCGTCAAAGGGGTCCTCTTAGGTAGCTACATCCAACCTCCCCAGAATTGCCTCCACTTTGCTTTGTAAAGTCCTCACTTGTTCTTGCAGACCGTGCAGAGCTTCTTGGAATTGTTGCAACCCATTAACCATCACCTTGTTCTGTCGTTCCATTTCCTCGAAGCTCCTCATTCGCTGGAATTGCTCTGCAGTTCGTTGTTGCAAGGTTGCTTTGAGCCATTTATTTTTCAATTCCATTTGAGACAGTCGATTGTTCACAGATTCATCACGCTCCCGGAGTTGTAAATTGGGTGCGTCCGGCGATGGTGTTTGTTCAATGCATGGCTGATCTCTTTGTGCTTCGGTCTTGGGCTCCTCGACCAGCTGTAATGGTGAGGTGATCATAGTCTTGATGCTCTCCATAATATTTGCAGATGACTCTTGACGGCATCACACTGTCAGCGGCACCGGTGTAACGGACTTTCAGATTCTTACCTGACTGGTCCCAACGACTTTGGGCTACTATACATTTGAACACAGCGGAGAGGAACGGTTATATACTTATCGACGACTTCATGTGACTTCCTGGTCAAAAGCTCGCGATAATTTGAACCTCGAACACAGGAGTCACCACTCGCTCCGGGTTGACCGCCAGCTTCCGCAACAATCCGTGGTCATTGATTATCTGCACGCAGTGGTGTGACCTTCTGCTGCGGTGGGAGGCCGTTATTGAGACCCAAGACTGTTTCAGGACCGCGGTGGCTCGGCACGCTAGAAGCAGCCCGAATAATGGTCATGGCCGTCCTTTGGCTGCTTCAAGAATGGAGAGACAAGGCTCACTGGTCGTGACAAGGCCGACTGACCTTCCCGTACGAGAGGCCGACCCTTGTGGCAACGCTGGTGGCCAAGTGTCCATTAGCGGCAGAGGATTCCGCACCACTAGAGGCGACTCGTAGAGATGAGGCTCCAAGCTCGTAACCCACAGAAAAGTGAGGAAACCTTGGTTTGGGTCGGTTGCCTCAGAGGCCTAAGATCTTCCTCGTTAAAGCAGTGATGACCACTTGGAGGGAAAGGCAACACTACCTTCATCCTATAGACCGACAAATCCATACCACTCTCGACCCAAAAGACATGTCACACTACCTAAGAACTTACATCATTGGACGGTTGGAGAGACGTATAGGCGCAACAACGGAAAAGATAGGAGACTTAACGACGTCATGCCAAAAACATGATGTGTCAAGATACCCCGAGGCGGATGCGTGTCCCTGCCAGGCGAAAGAATATTGGAACCTTGACCGTCTTGACGAATCTGTCCACAGACTCAAATACCTCGATCACTCGCTATGTCGGTGGTTCATATGGTACATCTGGTCCTCAACGAAGAATCCCCGGTTCCCCCAAGAAAGCATACAAGTCTGGTCGCAAACTCAACCAATCGCAGCTTGGCAGAAATTCGGAGTGGCTCAGAGGAACGGCGAGGCCTCCCCGAGCAATCGGCGAGGGTACATCTACTATAAGAACTCGCGGGAAGTGTCCTCCAGGCCAGCTGCAGCCACAAATTCTGAGTAGCTACTAGTTCATCTATGAAGCACCTATTAGAGCAGGTTGGGGTGGATTGATCACGGAATTGGTCGGAATATCGTACAGT